CACGCAAGGAAAGCAGCAAAAGTCTTTCTTTCTCTCCCCCAAACTCCGCCAGAAATGAGTCTTTGGGACCCTGCAAGGCCTCCTGCTCCAAGAGGCTGCACCAGCAAAGACTCATTTCTGGCAGAGTTTGGGGCAGAGAAAGAAAGACTTCTGCTGCTTTCCTTGAAAGCCAAAAGTCTCTCTCTCTCTCTCCCCCCGAAAACGGAGCTGGAGATGGTATCCTGCAATCCCAAATAAAGAATGATCGATCGATAGGAAAACAGGATGGGGAATTTTCCCAGGGTTTCTGCTCCGCGAGATTTAAAATTAGGAGTTTGGTGGTCCCTGAGGTCCAAAAGGTTGGCGACGACCCCTGTGCTGAAAAACAACGCATGGGATAGTTTGAAAAATGTAAGGTAACTCAATACAGGTAGTTCTCAAGCTAAGACCACAACTGGAACCAGAATTTCTGTTGTTAAGCAATGCATTTGTTAAGGGAATGGTGCCTGACTTTATGACCTTTTTTTTGCCATAGTTGTTAAGGGAATCGTGCAGTTGTTAAGTGATTCTAGCTTCCCTCATTGATTTTGTTTGTCAGAAGCAGGCTGGGAAAATCACAAATGGTGATGACAACCGTTGCCGGGACCCCTGGACCCTGCAACTGTTGTAAGTATATGCTGGTTGACAAGTGTTGTCAACTCTGATCATGAAACAATAGGGATGCTGTGATGGTCGTAAGTGTGAGGACTAGTCATAATTCACTTTTTTTAGTGCTGTTATAACTTCGGACACTAAATGAATGGCTTGTAAGTTGACCTGTCATAGCAATTCTGATTGATAGCCAAGATCCAGGTAATATCGGAGGGGTATCGTTTATATCAGGGGTGGCCAACCTTGTGGACCCCAGGGAACACGAAACTCATAATTTTAAATCCTGCTGACAACTAATATGAATTTTGACTGACAGTGGCTTGCTGACGTTGGTGGGAGAGAGAGAGAGAGAGAGAGAGAGATCCGATCTAACCTCGGAGGGCTGGCAGTGATGTTCTCTCTCACCCTCCCTCCCTCCCTCCCTCCCTCCCTCACACACACACACACACACACCTCACACACCCCCGCCCCCTCCAAGGCAGCCACATTCCTTCACTAACCTGCTTTTTAGCTCCGTTCTCGGGGGGGGGGGTGTATCCTGAGATCCCAAATAAAGAACGATCAATTGGTAGGAAAACGGGGTGAGGGATTTTCCTGCAGACTTTTTGGGGGATTTTCCCAGGGTCTCTGGGATTTTCCCAGGGTCTCTGTCTGCAAATTGATCATTCTTTATTTGGGATCACAGGATACCATCTCCAGCTCCGTTCTC